TCTCCTACCTCATTAACTTCTTTGATGGGGTCAAGATGCGATTGCTCTCTTGGTGGTGGGTTATTCTGGCCTCCTTGAGCCGGTCGTGCCTCCGATGGGCGTTGTAGGAGCTTTAAGAGTTCTTCGTTCTGTTTTATCAGACGTTCATTGACAAGACGAAGGGCCTCCATCTCATTGTTCATGTGAAGGCCCACCATGGGGGGATCTGCTTCTTGAGCGTTTTTGGGTTGCCTGTTATTTACGGCCTCTTGTTGATCTTGCATCCGTAGAGGATTGGTCTGACTTTCACGTTGATACCATCAGTCACTGAAAAATCAGTTTTATTTGTAACAGGAACAGTCGTTCCCACAGACGACGCCAAACTGATGGTGTCTTTCAACGTGATGCAAATTTGTGATGACAAGTAAATGAAAGGAACAATATTGAAATTGTTGGGATCTGAGCTACAAGACTTGAGTGAATGATATTGAGGATTGGCGGAGAGTTGGAGAATTAACACAGTAGAAATATAGTGGTTCACCAGCTCGGGAGCTCGACTAATCCACTCTTTAATGGAGACTCTTGCTCATTATCCTTTAATAATGATGATTGCAAGAGTACAATGGCTAATTTTTGCCTCTATAGTTCTTTTTTCTCCTTGGGGGCGTTACATAGTATTTATAGGGATGTTCCTTATTCGGTGGGATCTTAGCCGAGATTTTTGCCCTTACTTCGTGGGATTCTCCCTAATTTTTGGAGAATATCTTGGTTGGTTGAGATTTGGTGTCTTGATTATAGCTTCCTAATGCTTTTAGGAAGCTCTCGTGATCTTCCAGCTGTTGTTTTGGTTGTTATCGCCCTTGTTTATCTCGAAGGAACCTCCAGCTCTACTCTTCCGAGTTCTGTTCGTCTAATCTGACCTTCTGGGCTGAGCTGACCTCCTGAGCTAGCGTTTGGGATTTATTTTGAGGCATCATCAGTTTTAAAAATGAAAAGATTACGAACAACTGTAAAGTTGTTCTATTGTAATTTGAAAATCACAGATTTGAATCACGAAAATAACTTCTCTGTTTGTAGAGATGAGGTTGTGTACATTTAATTCTCCAAAGACCGTATGATAACAGGAGTCTCATATAATGGATACGCCCCAATAACAAAAAAAGATTTCGAATCACGTACCTCTCAGACCGAGACTTGCAAGCTTTTTCTTTCAGTTTATTTTCTCGAAAGCCTTGCTGATTATGACACTAGTGGTTCTCTCCATTATAAAGTCAATTACCAACAAGTCGGTTTGTGGGTCATCTCCCTTTGTCATTAGCTACTGAATAGATCCGAACATCAACAATTAGTATTGCCATGTTGGCCAAAAAAACAAGAAAGCTAAGGCCTAGTGAGTGATGATTTGGAGCCATGGTGTGCTAAAATGCTTTTGTCGTACATAGGGTTTTTGTCGTAAATGTCATGTTGTTTTTAATAGGTACTTGAAAGTTAGCACATTTTGGACTAATGTTATGATAAATGGAGACAAACCCATGTTTGTTATCCCCTATACACAGAAAAGTTAAGTTAGATATTCCTGGCGTTGATCTGAGACTGACCTTCCGATGCTTAGTTGAGTGTCTTAAGCGAATGAGTGTGTACAGATCGAGTACCTTCACTTTTGTATAGTCTCATACATAAATGATTACCAACACATTTTACCGACAACCTTCACACCATTAGAGACTTGAAATTTTACTACATGCATATGTTTTCTGTTCAAGCTGTTGGATTATATACAGGCAATGTAAAACTAATTTAGGTAGTTGAATTGAAGGATAACATTTGGGTATCCGAAAAAAAAAATCTTGATATTGTACCAAAAGATATTGTTCTTAAAAGTAGAGTTAACGTGACGTACGTCCACTTTTGAATGTTGGGTTACGTGTTATACGTGCATAAACGTCATGAAATGTAAAAGTAATAGTCTAAATGTGAAGGGGTTCAAATGATTAAATGACAAATATGAGAAGATTTAAGTATAATTTATCAATTTAGTTTTAAGCAGTAAATTGACGACAGTTAATTTTAGGTGCACATTGATACAAATTTCTATTTTTGAAGGTGCAAATTGAGATTTTTTATCTTTGGGGGTACACATTGATACAAATTTCTATCTTTAAGGGTACAAATTGAGATTTTTGATTTTTAGGGTACAAATTCAGATTCGAACGATCTTTCAGAGTGTAATTTGTAATTAATCATATAATTAAAGTTAGATTTGAATTGAATAGTTTGGGTATATTTCTTTGGCCCACGACACTAAATTTATCATTAAAAAATTTTTAAAAAAACAATAAAAAAATAAACTTTTCAATATTTTCTCCCGTGTGTATGTATGTGCACGGTAAAAAGAGTTCGGAAGATGAACAAATTCTCACTTCTCACTTCTCACTTCTCACTTCCACTTTATCTATCTATCTCTCTCACTCTTTCTCTAGCTAACAAAGGACACCTAATCTATCTTTTTTTTTATTTTGACCGTCTAACTTATTTTGTTTATTTGTTATTTTTGTACACTATAAAACTCACAAAGTCTATAGTTTTCTATTAGTATTATCATTTTAAGCTTGGGAAGTGGGGCATATCAAAAAGTGGAAAAAATAAATTTTCAATAAAATATTATTTTAAAAAATAAAAAGCATAGTTTTTAGTTGTCGCTTTTAAGTTCCAAATTGTCACGGACCGCCCTCGGTTACAACCGATTGAAGTAATTCATGATTAATTATGAATAATTTAAATTATTTAGAAGTTCTCTTCTGTGATGTATAATTTAACCCCTAAAAATTATAAATTTTATGATCGATTTAATATTTTAGATTACATCATACTTTTTACAATAGTAAGTTGTACTTTAAAAAGTTAATTTAATCTTACAAAATCATAATTTTTAATATGATAGTCACAAAATAAAATAAAGTCGGAACTATACAACCGAAACTTATCATATCAGAAAAAGTGATGTTAGACGGAATAAAAAAGGTAATAAAAAATAGGGACTAAATACTAATAAAAAAATAATATGTAAAAAAATTAGACTAGCAACACCAGTACATCATTTAATTATTATTTTTAATTGATTTATTTTTGATCAATCTAACATTAATCAACCGGCAACCATTCCACACTCTAGAGAGACTGTTCGAAACAGAGAAGAGGAAGAAGGGGAATCTCAAATCGGTTGCGATTCATAGGCTACTATCAAGGGGCCTTAACATCGTCGCCAATCTCAGCAGCCATGTGACGACGTTTCCCTTTTTCTTGTACCACACAGATCCTGCATATCCTGTTGTGGGTCCGCACTACCACACTTCACCTTCAAATATATATATTAAGTCCTTGACGGCCATCTAAGAGTGTCAAACGTTGTTCATGTGACTCATATTATTTATGTCGTATTATTATTATTTATATCAAGAATTATGAAAAAAAATATTATTTAATGTGTTTTGAATATTAAACATTAATTTAGACTATTTATTATGCGTATTTAATAATCGTGTCAATTTTATAATCTTTCATGTCGGGTTCGTATCAACGGATCAGAGTTGACATCTCATCCGTATCACAACAGTTTCGCCTACCTCAAGGACGGGCTCTGAGTTTAAATTTTCGTAATTTTTTGAGGTTAAATTATGAAAAATTTATCTCTTCTGAATTTCCTAATTTCATTGTCGATGGTCTGTACTTAACTGAATCGAGAAAAAAATTAGTTGAGATATGTTTAAATTAATCCAAACACTTTTAACCGTGGAAAAAAAAAATTCTATATCACAATAATTTGTACACACACATGTTAATTTTTTAATAAAAAGAATTTTGACAATTTCTTTGTGTGATGCACACCTTGCCACACTAAAACACCCTTTTGGGAGAAAATTTTTCGTGTTTATAATGCACTAAAATTTTGTTTGGGTAGCGAAAGATTGTTGGAAAGTGCGGAAAAGAGAATTTTTTTTTTGATTTTTTACTGTTTGTTTAACATGATAATGGTAGAAACTATTAGAAACTAAATTGTTCAGCTCACAAAAATTTTAAGTAACATGCAGTTTTTGTTTTTGACAAATTGTGCAAGAAAATATTCTTTTCCTTGAAAAAGTTGAGCAGACGTATCTAGTTTTGTGTCACGTAGATCTTTTTTTTTTCATTTTAATCCTTCAAGTTTCTAACTAGTATCACCTTAGTCCAATAGAAAAAGCTAGTTTAAACTCTTGGAAATTCTTCTTCCTTTTTTTTTGTGCTTGCATTCTTGAAATTTTGAAGAACTGCATATTACAAGATTAGAATCAAAATTGAAGTAAATTTATAATTTGACAGAACAAAAAAGTGACTTGCTGCATTTCTTTGGTTTAAGGATGGAAACAACTGCTCATCCCACATAGTGAATCTTCTTAACGCAGATATAGCCAGATTTTATTAAATAATGACACCATGTGCTATTAATAACGCGTGTCAATTTTGTACCAAATATTTACTCTATAAACTCTAAGAATAACTCAAGTGATAACAGAGACGAGTTGTAAGTCTAGTTGTCTTAAGTTTAATGATAAATTTATCTCTCATAAATATTTTAGTCTTTACATGAATGATCTGTCTTTAATCGGACTAGAGAAGAGATTAGTTGAAATACACGTAAACTCACCTGGGACAGACGTTGACAATTAAAAAAAAAGAATATTTACTCTGCCGACCTCGTTCCTGCTCTATAAATTGCCAACCTGCATATTATATCCTGTACACAGAGGGAGCCAGTCAAAGGGACTGAATTATATACACAATACAGAGAGAGAGAGAGAGAGAGAGGGAGAGAAGGATTTGCAAATGTTGCATGCATAAAGCCCAATCCGGCACACTTTAGCACCACCCGAATTTCCGCCGTTTTTTATATCCTTCACCTCCATTCTTCTCCGACAGAACCACAGTACACAAACTACAAGCTGTCCGCATAAGAAAAAAAAAAAAAAGAGTACATACAGTAAATCATGGCTACTAAGCTTCTTTTATTGTTTGCTATATATCGTTTAATTGTGGTCGTTGGATTAACACTGGACCCCAATAAGCTTCTCCGGCTCGGAGTTGAAGGCCAGCTCAGCGTCCACCCATCGGACTTGAAAACAGCTTCTTCAGATTTCGGCGGTGTAAAAAGAGCTGAACCGGTGGCCGTCCTCCACCCGGCTTTGCCGGAGGACGTAGTCCATCTTGTTAAAGCCGCCTACGAATCGGCTCATGGGTTCACCGTTTCGGCTAGAGGCCACGGGCATTCCACAAATGGGCAGGCTCAAACCACCAAAGGTGTGGTGATTCAAATGAGCCGGTCAAGGGTAAGCCGGATTGACTCTATCAACCCGACTTGGCCAATGGTTTTGGAGAAGTTGATGTATGTGGATGTGTGGGGTGGGGAGCTATGGATAGATGTGCTGAGGTCCACGCTAAAGTATGGACTTGCACCAAAATCATGGACTGATTACTTGTACCTTTCTGTGGGTGGTACCCTCTCCAATGGTGGAATCAGTGGACAAGCTTTCAATCATGGCCCTCAGATTAGCAATGTCCATGAGCTTGATGTTGTAACAGGTTCATCACCCAATATCTTTCAAAGTTCAGTTTTCTTGGGTTTAACTCTACTGAATTAACATGTTTTTAGATTATTAGTTCTGTCAAGTTAGAAGTGAGATTCTCATTTATCGATGTTATTTTTCAATATCATTTTTTTTATTTGTCAATATGTGACATGTGTAGAGTATAAAAATTATCTTTTTTGTTGAATGGTTTTGCAAAATGGTACTCAAAAGTTTTTTTTGTTTCTTCACTACCACAGCCTTGTTATGCTTCATATGTATGGAGCAATTAAGCCTTCACATTCTTTCTTTTTTTTTGGGTTAAATGGTCAAAAATGATCAGATTAATTTACACATATTTCGATTAATCTCCTCATCAATCCAATCAAAGGCATGTCATCCATGCCGATAATAAGATATTTATGAGAGATAAATTCTTATAGCCTAACTATAAAGGAAAATGTTATTTAAACCTAAAAATTTGATATAATTTGTTGACCTAATGACGTGATTTCATTGAAATTATTGAATTAACACCAAATTTCAATATTTGATGAAGCCCACAGTCAATCTAAAGGTTATAATGAATCAGGTAAGCAAATTAAATCAGTAAATTAGATCTCAATAGCATTGCTCAACTATAAAAAATTAGTAAGATTTAAAGTCAATACATCTAAATTTATAACTCACATTTATTAGCATTTCGTTTATCCCATGGGGTTTATCCCTTATTAAATATTTTTGACTATTTAAATGGAAAAAGGGAAAAGAGTACTTGGCAAGAATATTTCCACAAGGATTGTTTAAATGTAGTGCATGATTACTTTATACTTATCTGTAATATTTAATCCTTGTTAGTCATTATTAGTATTTTTCTAGTACTTTTTTATTCTTATCTGACATGACAAGGAGAATCTGATCAACAGGTAAGGGTGAGCTATTGAGTTGTTCTGAAGAACAAAACTCAGAACTTTTCCATGCTGTTCTTGGAGGTCTAGGCCAATTTGGTATCATCACAAGGGCTAGAATTACACTTGAGCTAGCTCCTCAAAGGGTATATAGTACACTTTACACTCCTCTCTTTCATGAACTAATTATGATTCTACCATTCTATTGAGACTTACTTACTCAAACAGCATAGTTTTAAACTTATTCACTAAACTACAATTATTTTTTAAAAAAATGAATTTTAAAACGCTCTTCTTTTGTAAGTGTTTTCAAAACACATTTTTTTCAATGGGAAGCATCCAAAACTTTTTTGTAAAAAAAATTATTTTTAAAAAATAAGTTTAAACTATAATATTTGAGTAAGTTTAAAAACAACTGTAATTGAATGATTAAATCTCTTTTTCATGGGTGAGGATCCTTTGTAGTAAAAAAATTAACGATAAAGGTGTTATTAATCAAAACAACATTGTTTTGTTAAATAGAACGACACTATTTTAGTATATGCAAAACGAAGTCATTTTGATTAATAACGTCTCTAAACCTAAAACTACCTGCAGAGGAGCCGGTCCCCTCTTTCACTCTCTGTAAATTATTGTCTCACTCATTAGACATGGGTTTTGGCAGGTTCCATGGTGGGACACACATGATTTGCTAAAAAATCCTGGTATCAGCTAATGACAAAAACGTATACAACAACTGGTACATATCATGACCCACATTGAGGATTGGGTCCATTTGAACTTTAAACCCATTTCAAACAGACACAATACAAATTTGTCGATATTAGATAAATTTTGTTACAACATGATTATACAATTTTAAAAGTACACGATATAACACGAGTCGTTGACGATCTACAATTATGGTTCATGTAGGTGAGATGGATCCGAGTGTTGTATTCCAACTTCTCGGCTTTTACCGATGACCAGGAGTATCTCATCTCTCTTCATGGACAGCCAGCTGCCGAAAAATTCGATTATGTCGAAGGTTTTGTCATTGTAGACGAAGGACTCGTTAACAACTGGAGGTCGTCTTTTTTTTCTCCTCAGAACCCTGTGAAGATTTCCTCTCTTAAAGCTGGTGGAGGTTTGTTATATTCATTGGAGATCACCAAAAACTACGACGAATCAAATGCCGATACTATCGATCAGGTAAATAGGTATGCGTAGGTGGTATACGAGTGCATGCGAATGGTTAATTAACATCAACTCTACCGAGAGACGTAGCCAGAAATTTGTGTCAGAGTGAACACGAATATATCAGCAAATTATTATTTTTTTTTTACAATTAATAGAAATAAGACAATAATTTATTTAATTACATTTGATTTACTACTTAAAAATTCATTAAACTCACCATACTAATTAAAATTATTTAAAATTGACTTCGGTGAATTTTTGTACTTCGAAAACGTTACATAACAACTTTATTATTTTTTAGATACATAATCATGTTATCACTTTGGTATTTATAAATTATTTGATCGATTATGTAGTTTAATGTCTATTCTATAATTTTTACCATAATTAGTAAAAATAAATGTCAAAATCACAAATAAACTAGAGAATATGTATATCATGTCTTTTTTAGTTTTAGAAAATATAAAATAATTTTAGTATATTCAAAATTTATCTAGATAAGTATATAACCTGTCCAAAATGTGTTAAAAAATTTATATTCATTTGATATAAATATACACTAATTGATGTGTCAAAAAAAAAAAAACATAATTAAAATTATTCATTTGATATAAGTGTACATTAATATTTTTGTTTTTGATTTCAGGTGGACATAAATAATATATTATATAAATATACAATAAACATACTAAGCAATAAAAAAAAAATTATGAGGGGGCACTTGCCCACCCTAGAGCAGGGCTACCTCCGCCCTTGACTCTACCTCTACTCTACTAAACACGACATGGACTCACTTTAACACACACACACACACAGAGGTACATATAAAAACTTTGTTATAATTTTAGTTAAAATAATAGTCAACATGAGCCGTCCACACCAAAAAAAATTATTCCCTCACCCCCCCCTAAAAAAAAAAATAATAATACAACTTTTTATTATTGGTTACGATTCTTTTGGAGTTGGGTCATAAGGGATTTAATCCCTCGTAAATACTCTAGTTTTGACGTGGATAGTTTGCTATTGACCAAACCGAAAAAGAGAATAGTCGAAATATGCTTAAATTGAACTAAACATTCTTGACTGTTAAACAAAAAAAAAAATAGTTCGCAAGATATAAAAAGCTATCTCACTTGGATAAAACCCAAAATGTTGGGATTTATTAAAATATTTTAAAATCAATCTCAACTTTCTAATTCCAATTGGATCTTAACTAACATTTTTGTGTCGTAAATTATCTTGATTGACTTGTAATTAATTTTAATGGAGTTGTAACTTTCAATAAGATTCGATACCCTAGAATTTTCTTTACTTTTAATATCTTTATTTTGAAAGTGGTTTTTAATTAGTAAGGTTAGGTTTTGTTTTTCTTTTCGCAGGAAATAGAGATTCTACTGAAGAAATTGAATTTTATACCAGCATCAGTATTTACAGCTGATCTTCCTTACGTGGACTTCTTGGACCGGGTTCACAAGGCCGAGTTGAAGCTCCGGTCCAAGGGGCTTTGGGAGGTGCCACACCCATGGGTCAACCTGTTTGTACCCAAGTCGAGGATTGCTGACTTTAATGAAGGAGTTTTCAAGGGCATTTTGGGGAATAAGTCCAGTGGGCCCATTCTCATTTACCCCATGAACAAAAACAAGTTAGTATCCGTACTTAATTCAATGTCTACTATGCCCTTTTTTACCATGCAAGGAATTCATCGCACATACAGTATCCTCTTGTTTTTCCTACTAAACTAACTGAATGATTCAGTTAGTTACCGTAATATTTCGATCTTTCACTATTCGATAATTTAATATTTATATATTTTTGGGTGACTAATGAAAGATTTTTTTTAGTATTTTATAAATAGCGGGTAAACATGCAAAATATTTATAAAATTTTCGTATTTTATCTAACCTACATGTATATTTTTAATTTTTTTTAAAAAATAATATGCATGTTATAAAACGGTGTCTTTTTTTTTTTCTCATAAAACAACATCATTTAAGAAGCATATGACTTGCGATTGTAATTTATTTTTTGTGTTTTAGATTATTAGATGTCATATTAATCAAATTTATTGTATTTTTTTTTAGTTTTATTATTTTATTGTGTTTGTTTACATATCTTTATATTATATTTTAATGGTCTAGTTGTAAAAGTAGTCCAAAATTTTGATAATTAAGGTATTAAAATTACCTAAAAATTAATAACTTAATGTTTGAAAATTTGTGAGGTATTTTGTATTCTGCATTCTTACCCTACCTTTTGAACAGATTTTTTGGACGAAATTCGCTTTAAAACATTATCTTTAATCGGGTAAGGTCAACCAAAGAAATAGTCTTTCGCAACTCATCGACCAAAAATATAGAATCGAAAAATTCCTACGTGTCTGGTTGGATGAACAACCCTACATGCCATATTGAACTATGACATCTCTGCCCAAAACAGGTGGTTCCTATGCGCGAACACAATCCCTCCTCTTCTATTGTACAACAGAGATTTTATTTCTTTAAACGACACCGTTTTACACATAATGCGATATCATTTTTTGTGTAGAATAGCATATTTTTTGGGCAGCATTACACTATTTGGTCTGGTGTGTTGCCACCGACATCCATATACACACACTCAAATGGATCCATGCATAAGAGATACAGCATACACTATTTGGCCAGCTGTTTGGATTTTTAATGAGCTTTTGTTGACTGAAACCTAACAAAATCAGCCAGAATTTGGGTAGCTACGATGCCGCCAATCACTTATTGTCCTCCATTTTGTTGGCTGAAACCCACCAATCATCCGGCCGATAAGGTCCAAGTGGGAAGATCCGAATGTCCGACTGAAACCCACCAATCATACGGTCGATATGGTCCAAGTATGGAAGATCGTAATGTCAGGAGATCTTTCAGATGGGCCCCACAGTCCGTTTTGCTGCTACCAGATAGTCCCAAAAAATACATAGCCGTTTGTACAGGTAACGACCCATCCATCAACACCACTCTGGGTCCACCTTGATTCGTTTCGCAACCATGAAATCCTAACAGTCAGGGTTCCACTTAGTTACACACGGTATCATACAAAAGCATGGATCCAAGACCCTTTTAAATTCAACCCGGTGGGGTTTTGGGGGGACCAGTGATAACTCAGGACATTTGATAAGTGACGCCAGCATACGTCGGGTTCATAAATTTCACGGTTTTAGGTTCTATTTGGTTTAGATATCTGTTTTTCTCTAGGAGAAAAACTATCGTTTTTTGAATAAGAAAATATAACCACTCCACACTTTCACCATCCCCACCAACACCGCCACATTTACACACCACGCCTACCACTATTACACTTCCACCACTACTATATTTTTGTTTGCACCGAATTATGAGTTATTTATCACACATGTTTTATTATTTTCTCTTCCGTATAATTGTTTTTGAAATCATATAATCGATCAAATTCTGCGATATAAAAAACAATAAAACACGTTTTTCTAAAACTCCTCCAAAAATTAATTTTTAAATACGGTTCTATGAAATGCAAACTAAATAGAACCAAAGGATTATGCACCTGAATTTTAAGATTTTTTTAAAAAGAAAAAACTGTATAAGTAGATGAATTATTCGTATTTAACCTTAATTGACTTCTTTATTATTCATGTGAAGTGCTCGTATCATTTTCCTTTCATGGTTTGATGGGTGTTTTGATTATGTAGGTGGGATGAGAGGAGCTCAGTTGTTACACCAGATGAGGAGGTGTTTTACTTGGTGGCATTGCTCAGGTCTGCGCTAGACAATGGAGAAGAGACACAGACGTTGGAGTACCTGAGCAATCAGAACCGTCAGATCCGAAGATTCTGTGACGAAACAGGGATCAACGTCAAGCAGTACCTACCTCACTACAACACAAGACAGGAATGGATGGACCACTTTGGTGATAAGTGGGCACAATTTTACCAAAGAAAAATGGAGTTCGACCCCAGACGCATATTAGCCACCGGCCAACAAATATTTAAACCTTCTTTTAAAACTAATACTGCTTCGCGGTGATTATAACAGAGCTTACATTATTAAATATTGAATAAAAAAGACCTTATTCAATGAACGAGGTTTTTATCATTGTACAATTCGAAAAGAGTTAGATATGCACAACTCTACAAGTAGATAAAGAGTTTTCACGTTATCAAATAGTGACTATCGAATATTATTTGAAGGTAGAGTTAGCAAAAGGGAAAAATAAATTTTATTTTTTTTTGGCAGGGGAAGAGTGTAATTTATTGAGAATTGAGGGGTTTTTCGGTGAATATTTATCAATGGAGGGACTATGATTGGTGGTGGGTCTCAATCGTTTTGAATGAAAGTAGAGGTGCAACTCGGGCGAGTTAGGTGAATTGAAAAGTCAACTCTAACTTAACCCTAAATATATAATCTTCAATCTTAATTTTATTTTAACTCGAGTACTGTTCGAGTTTAATTTGGGCAGGCTCGGGTTGAATTTGGGTTACTTAATTCAGGCTGATTTTGGGTTAAAAAACGGGTTGAACTTGAATTACTTAATTTAAGTTGATTTTTTGAAATGTAGATTTAATTTTTCAAATATAGATATGATTTTTTCAAGTGATCTGAAATGAAGAGTGAGACACAAATAAAAAGAGAAGGAAGAATAACGAGTGAGAAAAAGAGACTGAGAGTTTGAAACGACTTAGACGATTAAGAGGGGGAAGTTGTGAGAGAGAGGAGTGACGAGTGAGAGAGGGATCTAAGAGTAATGAAGATACAGGGATGAAAATTTGAAGTGAAGTGAAAGTCCGCACTCTAAAGAGTAAAGATAAATACTAACTCTAGTTAAATATATTTATGTATAGTCGGGTTGAATCCGATTTTAATATTCGAGTTGAACTCGACAACCCGATGTTTGCCCAAATTTAATTTGAGTTGGAGGTTTTTTACCCAGACTTAACTCAAATATTAAAAATTCTAACCCAAGTCTTTTTTTTTGAGTTGAGCTCGGGTTAAATTCAGATTACTCCGCCCAAAGTCCGCACTCTAAAGAGTAAAGATAAATACTAACTCTAGTTAAATATATTTATGTATAGTCGGGTTGAATCCGATTTTAATATTCGAGTTGAACTCGACAACCCGATGTTTGCCCAAATTTAATTTGAGTTGGAGGTTTTTTACCCAGACTTAACTCAAATATTAAAAATTCTAACCCAAGTCTTTTTTTTTGAGTTGAGCTCGGGTTAAATTCAGATTACTCCGCCCAAAGTCCGCACTCTAAAGAGTAAAGATAAATACTAACTCTAGTTAAATATATTTATGTATATTCGGGTTGAATCCGATTTTAATATTCGAGTTGAACTCGACAATCCGATGTTTGTCCAAATTTAATTTGAGTTTGAGGTTTTTTATCCAAACCTAATCCAAATATTAAAAATTATAACCCAAGTTTTTTTTTTTGAGTTAAGCTCAGGTTAAATTCAGATTACTCCGCCCAAGTTGTACCCCGAATAGAAGCATATATGAGATGATGTTTGCAGCGCCTGTGATTACGACCGACCGGCCGACCACTGGCCTTTCAATCATGTCTCAAATGTTTCAGTTCCAACCAACGTAGATTGATAATTTACTGTATGACCCTCTTGTCTTTTATTCTTCTTTTGGTTTTATTCATATCTTATTTGGTGGATTTCACTTGTTAGTGCACCTTTAAGCATAATCTTTCAATTATCTAAGTTAACCTTTAAACAAATATTGTAATGGGTAGTTAAAGCCTATATTTATGTATCGATATCATCCTTTGTCGTTGATTTTCTCTTCTGAAGGATGAGCTTCGAAATCTGAATTTTCTTATCGATAAATTATATTTTCATTAAGATGCCTTGTCAATAATCGTGGATTAAGGAAATCTTGTAGGAGTTCGATTCAAGCTGGTCCGGCTTGACATTTAAGCTAGGTTAATTAGCCTAACCCCAGTCCTTGAATCATTTGATTGACCCAGCTATGATTCATTAATTTTAATTTTATGTTTTTATAATACATTTGAGACAATACTAAAAATTAAATACTTTAAAATTGTGGGGGGTTTTGGTACAATTTTTCAAAAAATTTGAAGTAGTGGTCCGTGGGTTAATCTAGGCTGAAAGAAAGTTTGGGCTTGAAGAAATTGGCCCAAAGTTCGAACCGACCTTGTCCTTCAAGGCTGATGGGCTCTACTTTTGTGGCTGGACCATGTCCAGTCATAGCAACATTGCATCAGTAATGGGCCAGACCCATGGCCCACTAAGTCGTAGTAACATGCCACCTACGACCTTAGACAAAGGTAACTGGGCCATCTATATCATCTCTCGAGAAAGTTCAATATTTTTAGTTCAGACCAGGAATATAGATCAAGCCTTTTTATTCACGAGCTGTCCAAAAGAACAAGAGGTCATTTCAAGCAGTATGACCTCTCACAGACATCGAAGAGCACACCATATCCAAACTTAGAGATAGGTCATGATACCATCTTAACATGTTTTAAAAAGTCGCATCACACCTAGGGAATGTAACATCTATCGACTAAATATTCCCTTAACAAAATCCCAATAAACTAGGGAACCATGTCATAATGACGTGATGGCCACTTCATTTGTGAGTATAATAAATACACGAGGCAATCCCTTGTACATAGGCGGGCCTACTGTAATTTCAACAATTGTAACATCTATCTTCTTCTCCAAGCATTAGAAAATCCTCCAAAGAAAAAAAAGGCTCTATTAGAGTGGACACTAACCAAACTTTTCAATTGGTGAACCATTGTATTCTTTATGTTATTTTTTACTCTCTCTCATATTTTTACGCTTCCCATAACATATTACAAAACCCTCAAACTCTCTTATTTATTTTTTCCTACCACAATCATTATTAGATAGCCTTGAACTTCTCAACTTAAGCATCTAACTCACGACTTTGAGTTATAACATCATCACATATCATACGTTTTGTGTCATTGAAAGTTTACAGAGTAGAAACTGTTTAACCCACTACAAGAAAAAAAAAATTACGGCGATAAAGTGTTATTATAAAAAGTATATTTATCGTCACAATTACTTTATTTGGTTGCATTGCCTCGCCATAATAATTATGGTTTCAAAAGGTTTTTACAATAAGAACGATTTGTCTCAAATAGTATTTATGGCAACAAGAGTCTGTCTTAAATAAATTGTCACAAAAAATCCAACACTTTTGCTTTTATCACGATGGCAAAAGTTCTGCCTCAAATATCATATTTGATCGTCGTAAAAAATAAAAGATTTTGTTGTAGTGGTTAATATACTGTCACAAAAAGTATGAAATTTTTTCTACATTAAATGAAATATATTTACGACGGCAACGATGCACCCACAAAAAAAAAATTTAATTATTATGGACCGTTAATAATCAAATATTATATACGTTGTTCATATATACACTTCTATCACATGAATTTAAAAGTGCACATCCGTATAATTATTTTTTTTCGGAGGGTGAGGGGTGTCAAACGTGTTGGATTAAATTGTTACGTATCCGGTTAAACGGGTGACTGATGAAAAACATATAAATTCGTACACGACACGTTTAATAAATGGATAAAAAATATCAACATGACTCATTTAATAAACGGGTAACATGACATGATTCATTTAACCAGTTTAATTTTAAAAAAATTATATCAACAAATTTTAATACTCCACTTTATTTACTACTAGCTATACTTCCCTCAAAAAAATTAAATTTCTAGTCAAATCTCACATAAAAATCAGACTTAAAGGCTAAAAATAAAAAGCAAGAAGCCATTGTCTTTTATGGGCAAGTCAGCTCTCTCATCTCCCCTCATTTGCCAATGTGGGACAAAAACAACAAGCATTAGTTTCCCTTTGTCTTTGAACTGTCCCTCATCTACCCTCCTTTGTATTTGAACAACTACTTTATTATTATTATTATTATTTTTGTATTAATTTCTTTATTTTTTTTTTCTTGCTAATTTTTTTAAATAATTATTAATTTATTATTATATTAATTTTATTTTAACGGATAAACATGAGATAAAAGGTTTGACAGGTCTCACCCCAACACGACTCGTTTATTAAATGTGTTTGGTGGGTCAACCCGTTGAATTCGTGTCAATTAATCGTATCATGTCAGATTTTGACAAGTTTTTGAAGGGAAAAAAGAGACTTGAACTTTTGACCTCAAGAAGGCAAAACTTTCACAAGATAAGAAATAAAACTGGACCAAAGACTCATTAGTATCTGTACAACTACCCAATTCAATACATAGATAAATACAAAAGTAAATATGACCAACATTTTCAATTACATAGATTTTCATATCAAAAAAAAAAATCACATGAGCTAAACAAAATGTAAAATATCCACTTTTACAAAACATAAAAATCTATGAGTACAAGAAATTAATGGAAAAAAATTATACATCATTCCTAAACTATCTACTCTCTCAGTGACATCTGAAAAAAACATAAAATTATTGTTAATATACTGAAATGATATTTATATACATATACATACAATAAATAACTAAAAGAAGTTAGAATATACATCAACAGAGGGCTACGCAGCATTTCTCTGAACGACTTATTCAGTTATATAAATGACATATAAATGAGTCATATCGTATACATTTTTTCTAATTGATTTTACCAATACTTGATTCGTTTATAATATTATCGTGTCGGGTCCAGTCGTTTACTAAACAGGTGGCTTAAGGAAGACTCAAACCCACTAATTTTATATCGTGTTAACGGGTCTGTCATATTTTGACACCCCTAATTTTGATATAAAAAATTAATTATATAGAGTTTAATTTTTTTTCTTTGAACTAGAAATTTTCTTTTGATATAAAATTACGTAATTTTATAAAATATTACTTGTAACATGAAAAATAATTGTGACCACTAATTTTTTTTAGAGTTTTTTTCTTTAAACAATAAACTATTTTTTAATCTAAAACTACATTTTAATGTTTTATAAAATATTATATACGACGGAAAAAATAACTACCATAAATAT